CTGCATGCTGATAAAGCCTCTTGCAGAGAAGAAATCTGAATGAAGATTTTTCTAGAAAAGCTTGTTAAGGAGCCCTGATGACTCTGATGAGGTGTTTCTATCCCTGTGTCCACCTCTCACCCAACTATAAATGTTTGCACATACTTTCTCTAGGCACAAAGTGTGTAAGGGTGAAGGGCTTCTAAAATGCAACAGGACTGGGGCCCCTGGGTGGCTCGGTTGGCTGAGCGTCCGACTTTGGCTCAGATCATGATCTCACGGTTTGTGAGTTCAAGCCCCGTGTCAGGCTCTGTGCAGACAGCTCGGAGCCTGGAGCCTGCTTCGGATTCTGTGTCTCCCTCTCTCTTTGCCCCTCCCCTGCTCATGCTCTGTCTCTCTCTCTCTCTCTCTCTCTCAAAAATAAATAAACATTAAAAAATAAATAAATAAAATAAAATGCAACAAGACAAACATTAACTAAGATCCTGTGGTCAGTGGGTTTTCCCTGCCCATCCCTAAGTCGTGGAGCAGAAGACTGGGCCCCAGAAAACTGCTATTCGAAAAACCAGAGCACTTCCTGTCATCAAACCTTTATCGAGCACTTCTGGTATTCATGGCTGTGAGTAGTTCATTCTGAGTTGTATTTTGGGTTTTGTTTTGGCGGTGAAAGGGTCCCACGTCAGCTCAGCCTTTTGTTCTAATTATATCAAGAGAAAAAACGTCCGGAGAACCAAATGAAAAGCAAGACACATCAGCTTCTAAAGAATTTCCATATTTATTGGACATAGTGTTACCATACACATCTCATGCCAACACACAGGAGGCATAGACAGACAAACGCACCAACTTCTGTGTTCCAAAGTCACATGGCAATAAATAAGGATGGGTGGGTCCTTTTTTTTTTTTTTTTTGTCTTTTTCTTTTTCTTTTTTTTTCCAGGAAATGAGGCTTCATTTCTTTTTAACTGTACAAAATTTACACTGCAAAGGGTGAGGGCAACAATCCAGAGCTTAGGGGATCTGGGGCTTGGAGGTCTGAACGCAAGTCCAGAGCCGCTTTCTGGGCCCCTGCAGCCCTGAAGCCACGTGTTTGGCTGAACACAGTCCTCAAGCGGGGAAGTACAAACGATTCTTGTCTCTAGGTGGGCAGCAGACGAGAGTGGGGGTGTCCTTCTCTGTCCACCTGTGCTCTGCCTCCCTAAGGGAAGGAATGCTTGGCGCACCTCCCAAACCTGCAGCTGTCCCCTCACCGGAGCTAGCAGCATGAAACTGTGCTTTCCGTGTGGTCCTACCAAGCAGTGTGTGAATGGGATGGCTTTGCTGCGCTCTCTCTTTTTGGCTCCAGTCACCATGGTAGAGCAGTGGGAGCAACTACTGCGAAAAGGGCCAATGGACCAATCCAAGAAAGAGAGAGCCAGTGATGTGCTTTTTATTCAGCTTCAGCATGCCCAGAGCCCTTCAGCAGCAGGCAATAAAACAAAACTCATTTCCGCTTAATTGAATTTTTCTTCATCTCACGGTTTCCAATTTTTAAAGTGCAATGTTTCAAAATGAGCCACCTCGGTCCTTCCAGACCCTGCTGGCTAAGGAGGTATGGTCATTATTTCCGTGGTTATAACCGAGTTGTCAGTAGTGGTGCGTGGGAGGGGTTACATGGGAGCGAGGGTGCCAGACAGCACGCTGTCATGGGGCCCTTTCGCGGAGCTGAAGCCTTCAAGCCCCTCCTGCGAGGAGGCAGTCGTTCCAAAACAACCAGCTTGAGCTTCAGAGGCATTAGTGTCTTTTGTTCCACAGATTTCTTAGACTTTTTGCAATGGGAACTTAACTATGAAGATCTGATGGCCCCAGTAATCTTACTAGGTTTCATGTTTTACTCTGGCAAGGAAACAAAAACAAAACAAAACAAAACAAAAAACACAAAGTTTTAGAGACACTCTCGAATGCTTTTCTTATGTCTTAATGTTGTTCTCTTCCCCTGATGTTTTACTGCGCTAGGCTGCAGGAATCATGTTAACCAGTATGTAGTTTTCATTTTACATTATATCTGTAACTACCAGACGGGGCAAGAAAGAGAAAACGCGAAGACTGAGCCGAGTTTGCCTGAGTCGCCCAGCAAGTCCCTGAAAGGACCCAGGCTTCCCAGCGACGTGATTTACCCAGAGGGCCAGCTTCACCCTTGGATTTGGTGTTTCCTCTATGCTTCTCTTCTCAGCAAATGTAGATTCTTCCATAGCTCCTCAGGTCCCATTTTTGCTCATACCAGTTACCCCTGGAAACTTGGGGGGGAGGGTTTGTTGGTTTGTTTTTCTTCGTGTCTTTAATTTCCTCCTGGATTCAGAAGCCACCTACCCCTGGGGTCTATCAGCCAAGCGCCGCAGATAATGGTTGCTAGTCAGTTGCTCTCTTAGAGCCAAAGACAGATCCGAATATCGTAAATGCCTTTAGAAGTTCTCGTTTCACTTTAAAAATTCCTATCATTTTAGCCAGGAGGAAACAACCCCCATGTAGCACCTTATACCTCAGTAATGGACTATTACTATAATATTAAACTATCGCCCTCAGGAGCAATGGAGGAGTGCCCTTCAGAGAATCTCAGGGTGATGTTCTATTCTTCTCCCTCTCTGAGCCACAGAAGAGCCAAGGAATAGTGTTCGCCTGCTGTGGCTCACTGATGGCACCGGCCCATCCCTATGCTAACCTCACTTGCAAGGAGATATGCTTAAAAGCCGAGGCCTGTTATTGTGGCTGTACTTCTAAATGAGGCACTAATGTTCACTGCTTTCTGGGGAGGTGGTTCTAGGGCACTTCGTTCAAGCTCTCCTGGCTTTCTGGGAGTGCTCCCTCAAGGGTTCTTCAAGCCAGCCAACCCACCAAAACCAAGGAGGCTACTACCACCGGCTGCACTGCTCACTGAGGGCTGCAGGAGACTTCTGTTATTAGTAGGAATGAGGACAGCGTCCATTCTTCCACCAGCGGATCAGGAGTGAGCATGATGAACTCACGTACAAAAACAAAAACGGGTCAACTTCAGGTGATCTTAAAAGCCCAATGTCGGGGCGCCTGGGTGGCGCAGTCGGTTAAGCGTCCGACTTCAGCCAGGTCACGATCTCACGGTCCATGAGTTCGAGCCCCGCGTCAGGCTCTGGGCTGATGGCTCGGAGCCTGGAGCCTGTTTCCGATTCTGTGTCTCCCTCTCTCTCTGCCCTTCCCCCGTTCATGCTCTGTCTCTGTCCCATAAATAAATAAAAACGTTGAGAAAAAAAAATTTTTTTTTAAATAAAAGCCCAATGTCATACCGAGGGGGGCACGTCTCTAGAGAGTCCGCCCTCCCTGCACTGTGCTCACCAAAAATACGAAGTGCCTCTGAGATCGTGTGAGATACTAGGCCAAACAGTCCAGCCAAGATAGTGGTCTGGGTAGGACGGTGTGTCACTGGTTCGTCGCCCAGCACCGTCTCCTCTGTATGGTGAGCAGCCGGCTAAGAATCGTGTGTTTAAGCAGCTGTCCTCCAAAGAGACAGTTGTGTCTTCCTTTCCTTCACGTGGCTTATCAGCTTGCATGTGTGCCCCTGCCCCCACTGCCAGGGCTCACACTACTCGGGGATTCCCAGCAGCGGAATTGGCTAGGCGTAATACACCAGCATCCCTACACCTGGAGCCTCCGGACGTCTACATTTGTAGACTGTCCAAGCAAAACTCACAGCAATTGCAGCACCCCACAAAATAAGGGTACAAAATCCAAATGGAGCAGAGAAAACGTGGCATGAAGGCTGATCCCAGGAATTTACTGACTATGTATTTTAAAGAAGCTGGACGGACCTCAGTTTCGTTCCTGGAAAGGAATTTACAATAGATGCAGCAGCCAAAGAGGAAGTGGTTTTTGTCTACCATTAGCCCGCCTACCACGTGCCTAAACCCTGTGGTCCTCAAAAGGTGACGAACCGTCCACAGGAGGAGGGGCCCTTCGGATCTCTGGCCCCATCCCTTTAGTGGAAGAAAGGCAATGCCATGTCACCCTCTCCTGCTCTCTGATCTTGATTAAGAAAATGGAGGCCGGAAGCCGGAAGAAGCAAACCAGCATTTCCCAAGGGTACTGGGAGAAATCCTGCCTAAATTCCAGCGTGCACACGGACAACTTCCTGATGGACAGAGGTGGAGGTGAGGTGCGTAACACCAGGCACTTCCCACAGAAGTGCAGGCTGCCGCAGGGGTGCAGCTGAAGCAGGGGTCGGCCTCGCCCTCTGGGTGATGGGCTAGAACAAACCTGCAGGCTGAGAGTCCACACAGCCACCGGCTGGAGAGCTCTGCCTGTCTGAGCACAGGCCTGGAGCACCAGCAGCCCAGAAACTGGCGGCCCGAGGACCACTTGGAACCCTTTGGACGATCTTAGGGCTGCTCCCTAGTGATCCCTCCCAACCAAGAGAGGCCGAAAAGCATTACTAGTTCTTGCAAGATACCAAAACCATCCAACCGAGCTGGCTACCACGGTGGCGAAATCTCTCCTTTTTAAAGGGCTGGGAAGGGTTGGCTGCAGCTGGGGTGGGCTTGCAACCTCATCTACAGCGACTCCCACAAACGGACTCCGTGTCATTTCAGCCTACAGGATGGGGAGCGCTGGGAGGCGGCCTGCTGACCCGGCTAAGCAGACCGCACGCTCTCACTGATTGTCGTTCTGTTCTCTCCGCATTTTAGCTTTGATCACTTTGTACCCCTCAGCCTGTCTTGTGGAATAAATGATAACGAGCAAATTAAAAAGGCACACTGTGCACCGAGGGGACTCGTCGGGCAGTCACTGTGATGGTCCAGGGCCACTCAGCTCCGGCCTGAGTCACCTGCAAGGAAAACCACTTCTTGCCATCAGGGATTCAGTGACAGGGATGGGGTTTCTTTAAAACCAAAACTGAGAAGTGTTGTCTGCCTTGGACTTCTGGGCAGGGAAGAAGTCACATTTCTCACAGCAAAAAAAAGAAGAAGAAGAAGAAGAAGAAGGGGACATGTATTCAATATCAAACGGTGGCCATCAAAGTTTTCACTGACCTTTAATAAGTGACTTTTTATTTTCAAAATTAGAGTTCAATAGGGTGGTCCAGAAATCACTTTTATTATACTCAAGGGCCGTGATGCCTCTGCCTCAGGAATCTCAGTTCTGGTGAGAGCAGTGGTTCGGGAAACATCTCACGAGACACACCAGTCGGAGCAGAGTTCCCAAAGGCCAAGGTGGCCTGACGGTCACCGCGTGCTCCCAAGCACTGAGCAGCCAAAGCCTGTAAGCAGGGCAGGGGGCAGGGGAGGAAGCCACCAAGCAGCACCCTAGCGCTCTAGGCTGTGCGCCCCTGTGCCGTGTTCTGAGAGGAGGCCGTGTTCCCACCACTTCCCCAGGATAACAGTGCCCTAGTGTGGTCTCTCGACCACCTAGGGATCAGCGGAGGACTTCCATTGAAAATAATGGAAATTCACATTGGTGCACTTTTGATCCTTAAAAGGCAAGTCTCTTTCGATCCTTGAAGATATTCTCTCAAGCCAGGACGGGTAGGGTGGGGAGGAGAGATGTTTAAAAAGGAGGATGATCCATTTCATCGAGCCAAGAGGCTGGGCTAGTTGGAAAGTCGGGGTAGCCTACACTGCTTCCTGTGGAGATGTCAGAGGTGGGTCCCCCAGCCATGGCTCTCAGCGTCTGGCTCACTCCCTGCCCTGCGTGCGCAATGACGCCCAAATTACTGTCCACCGTGTAATCCAGCCCATTGAGCAAAGGAGCGTGGGATGGCAGGGACGATATGGAGGATGGAGACTGGGGGATTCCATAGGGGCTCCCATCCCTCAAGTCCTGATAGGATTGTCCTGTCCCGTCCATGGAGAAGCTCCCATTCATTAACTGTCCGCCTGTAACGTCCCCCATGTTGCCATAAATCCTATTGGTGTGGCCAAGTTCTGAGAGAATTTGATCCTCTGTGGACAAAAGAACGGAGATTTATTGTCAGCCGCCAGGACTCCAGTGGTCCCTGTTCTTCACAACCTAGGAATACACATGACCAAGAAAGAAGCCCAAGGACGGCAGCTGCCTCGCTGCCGTGCATGAGTCAGACACCAACGTGTCCCCCACAGACTGACCCGCATCAGGGGGGAAAATAAGAAACACCTGCAGAGACTAAATGCAGATCCCAGAAGACTGGACAAATGTTTGGGGTGTTTGTTGGTCCCATGGTGCTCATGTACTAAGATGGCTACAGTAAAGAATAGGAATGCCTGAGGTTTGTGGGTCATATGTTATCAACCTTACCAATGGAAACTACATGCTGACAGGATTTAATATGAAAGCTTTCAAGCTGAGAAAAGGGCTTGGTTTGGTTGGTTGGGAAAGAAGCAGGCCCATGTGGTAAGGATAGCTGAGGACCACTCTTAGGCATGTATACGAAAATCCTTCTGTTCCACCTGGAAAAGAGGTTCAACAGCAAAGGACTTGGTTTCTCTCTCTATCGAATAAGCTCTTCACTGGGGACAAAGTGTTGACGTGAGGAAGGCAAATGGTCCTTCCAGTTTTTTGATGAATTTCATTAAGGGTTTCTAATGGAATGTGTGCTACCTAGAAGAATTCACCTGTCCAACAGAGGCGAGCACTTTTAGTCTTCAGAAATGAAGAGTTCTATAATTGCCCAGAGAGACCCCTGACGTGTCGACCTGGGGACCCAGCTGCACCCAACAGAAAAGAGCTACAAAGCAAGACTTAACAATCCTGCCTGCTCCACACGTTGATTTTGCAGCTCAGATGAGATTAAATGGCTTTCCTAACCCCACCAACAGGACTGGAGGGTGAGCATAGGCCCTTGGGCCCTTCCCAGGGCCCCGCAGGGCAGGCCTCTAGAGTGAGCCACAGTCCTCTTGGGGCATCGCGCCCTGGTGGGCAGCTTGTTCTGTCCTCTGCCCCCCAACCTCCTCTTCTGTTCCCACCCCGGGCCTGTGCACCAATTCCCATCAAGCCTCCCCAGACTGGACTTCAACACGCATTCCTTCTGAGGGCCTGCCCTAGGCCTGCCCCCTGCTCCAACCTGAAAATGCGAAGGGGCGAGGAGAACTCATGCCCTTTAAAAGGAAGCAGAGAGACGAAGGCTCAGCTACACTGGAAAACAGCCATTACTTGGCCTTTTGCCCATACCTGTCATCCGATACGGCAGGGCCCTCTGTGGGGGCCACAGGCTCGCCGTGGGGACAGTCATGTCTCCGACTATAAAACTGTGCTGAGCTTCCCCCAGACACATGCATGGTCAGCTGTGTTCACTGAACCCCACAACACCACTGTGAGGTGGGCAAGGACGCAGTTCATCCCCATTTACAGAGGGGGAAACTGAGGCTCAAGAAAAGTGAATCGGCTTGAGAGAGCCACAATCAGCAACCAGACTTCTGACCCCCAGCTCCCTACTCTTTCTATCCACCCACGACAGAAGACCTTCCACAGCTGAGGACTCAGTACATGAGAACAGTTATGGCTTTTTGCAAATAACCTCCGGATCCGAAACATGCAGGAATTTGCAATTTTGCTGATGCACAAATCTGAATGTAGCGCATGCTGCGAAGCTTATGTGCAGGGGACAGGATGAAGTGAGCAGTGGGGGAAGGGATTTCAGAAGCGAGGCCTGCCCCCTTCTCACAGGCACTCACAGTCTTGACTTCCCAGGGCATGGGGCCTATAGAGCATGTCCTCCCCAACCACCACCAGGAAAGGAGAGAGGGGTCACTCTAGGGGATCCCGGGAGGGAGGCCCATGCCCCTGCAGAGGAGGGAAATGCAGGGCTGAGACACAGCGGTCTGTTTACGGCTTCCCCCGGGCTGGTGAGAGCCCCAGTCAGCAGGAAAGGAGGGGAGGCCTTGGGGCCCACGGGCCTAGGGAACCCGGCTTCCACATTTCAGCAGCAGAGCTCTCTTGTTCCCTACTCCTTGTCCCACTGACGCGGCCTCCACCATCCCCACCACCGCCCCCCTCCTTTGCTGCGAGTCGCAGGGAAGAGCCTATGTGCTGGAGGCAGCCGTCAAGGCCTCAAGAAAGATCCCTCCTGAGCATCAAGAATTACTGTTTCCCAGGGGCCTTTCCTAAGGCCTCGGCCTCGCCCCTCCAGCCCTGCTCACCTCGGAAGCTCAGCTCACTGTCACTAACCCCACAGTCCTCGGCAGAACTCTCCTTCTCCTGCTTGCTGCCTCCCCGGCTCCTCTTGACGCTCTTATAGAACTGCCCCCAGCGATGCCGCCCCGCGTCCTTCTTCAGGCGCTTCTCCTTGGCCCTTCTGTTCTGAAACCAAACCTGCCGCACAAGCAGAAGGGACACGCTCGGGGGGTGTCCGCCACAAACCCAGAGCCCCCAGGGTCCCCAAGACAGGCAGCTGGAGCCAGGCCCTGAAGCCTCCATGGAGTTCAGGGCCAGGAGGGTGATGTGTCCACGACTCCCTCTGCCTGGGCCTCAGGACTCTGTCCCTGTTTCCACAAGCTTCCCAGGGTCACGGCCCGAAGCCCAGCTCCCCGGGCGCGCCCTGAGCCTCGCCCTTGTAGCGTGTAGAGGGCACAGGACACCGGGGCCCTGTCCCAGGCCCAGCAGGAGGGCGCAGGCCTGGGGCCCCGAGAAAGCAGAGGAGGCCAGGGCGTCTCACCTGTACGACCCTCATGTCCAGGCCGGTCTCCGAGGACAGCTGCTCCCTCACGTGCCGGGCAGGCTTGGGGGAGTTCTTGTAAGCGTTCTTTAACGTCTCCAGCTGCTTGGCTGTGATGGTGGTCCGGGGCCGCTTCGCTCCGGCCTCAGAGTCATCTGCGGTGAAGAGCACTCCTTACAGGGCTCTGCCTGCCCGAAGCGGCTGGGGCTCGTCCCCCTTCCTCCTCTCCTCACGCAGCCCTGCCCGCCGTGGGCAGAGCCGCGGGCCGGAACGGTGAACGACAGAGTGGCACGGTCCCCACCCCCACGGAGCCCTCTCCTCACCACGGGCCCTCCCGACTCACAGGAACATGAGGACAACAGTCCCTCCCTCAGCTCCCCACCCTTCTCCGTCTCCCGGGGCTCCCACCAGACCCAAGGTGCGCAATTCCATGCACTTCCCTGTCCTGGCAAACACTCTGATTGGATGTCCCTGTGGATCGGTAGCTGGGCTGTGAAGGCGAATGAGCCAGGGTGGGTGAAGTGCGTTCTGGGCCACCCCAGGCGCCCCTGCCCCTCCTGCCCGCAGGCCCCTTCCGGGTGGCCTCCCTGGGCTCAGCGGGGGGTGACCCCTAAGCGGTGTTCATCAATTATGGGTCAGAACGCGTGAGCGGGTTGTAATGTCAACCGAGAACCTTTCGAGGAAGTAGGACGGATGGGATGAGACGGGACAGATGAGGGCAAGCATCGCTTCCGGGACTTGCTTAGTGCTCACTGTTTGAATAGGTGTGGTGAGCTGAAACGTAAAATGAGTTCCTTACTCTGAGTCACAGCCAAAATTTTTAGAAAACCACCGGTCTAAAGAGTGCTCAGGACAACATACTGGCGGATCAGCCTTCAGTGGATTCTGAGCAGAATACTGTTAGAGGCTGGTTTGTTCAGTCAGGCACAGAGGCATCCGGGTGCAGTCAGCAGCACACAGCCAAGTGCAGACGGCTCATCTCCTCTCCCGGCACTAGACTTACACCCATCCTCTCTGCATGGCATCCCTGAGTCAGCAAAGAGTAGGTCAGCCACCATGTCCCTGGCTCTCTGGGTTTTCTGTGCTTCCTCCCCTGTGTGTCCTATAAGATGTCCCTACTACATTCCCACCCTGTTTCTCTCTTCCTTCTTTCCCATTCAAGAAAACCCTCTCTTAGGAACAACAATAAGCCAATGTTTGCTAAGCACTTACTATGTGCCTGGTGTGATCTGAGAACTCTGTGTGCATTCAGTGCTCACGACAGTTCTGAAAAGGTTTTCTTGCAGCCCAAAGACTTGGGCTCAACCTTCTTGTTGAGTTGAGTGAGTGATGTGGGCGAGTTACCTCCCCACTCTGAAGCCTGGCGCAATGCCATCTGCCCTAAGTTGGGCAGCCTGTTATACAGCCCGAGTCCACGCTGCAGTCATGCACACAGCAGAGGGAGGACGAAGTCCCTTGTCCTCTCTTCTCCTTGGGCTGTTTTCTCCTCTAGCAGAGCTATTATCGTCCGCAACCCCCTGCCACCCCATCCCTCCCTTGGAGCCCTGGATCCAAAGAGAAAGGCTTTTAGAGCCATCGTGGGAGAAACTGAGGAAAGCCTCCAAAACTCTCTATATTTCAAACTCTGTTATAAGGAATCAATCCCTTCTGCCCATATTTACAGAGATAACAGCATGCCAGCGTTTGATGCCAGTATGAAATAGTGCACTTAAAAAATACCTGTATAGGCTTTAGATATAAAATTTGAAATCATAAAACCATCAGAAAATTTTAATTCATCAAGAATTGCCTAATTTTTAAATAAGCTGGCCTCGTGATTTAGAAATTGTTGTCACCATGGCTAGATGGCAGTGCCACGGGGATATACCTGTCATCCTGGGCTGGTGGCGCACTGGGATATACCCATCATCCTGGGCCGGTGGCCCCTCTGTTCAGAACTGCTGTCTACGTCCATAGGACTTCCTTCTTGCGATTATGGGAACTATTATGCTGTTATTTTAACATTCACTGTTATTATAATTTAAAATCTTTTTTATATCCTATAACAATGTCATCCAAGTATTCATTAAGTAGTGGTGGCAGTGCTCATGCTGAAAAATGTACCCAAAAATCAATAACTTTGGTACGGAAGTTAAATGTGATAAAACGCTATGAGGAAGGCCAAGCGAGACCATGATATCCTAGGCTGTTAATTTAGGAGAGAGCATTCTGCAAGGTATTAGAGATAGTGCTGAGAAAATAAAAAGTAGCATTAAGGCAAAGATACACTTCACTGGTTATGGATTTATGTGCTTCCAGAATACATCCCCCCCTCCTACTTTTTACATTAATTCCTATGGGAAAATTAGTCTTAAAATATGTTAGTTTTGAATTATGCAGGGTCTCCTAGCACTTGTCCCCGGCATAAAATGCAACCTCATTATATTGAAAATGCAAATATCCAGGGAGATATAACAAATGAACAAAATCATTCACACTAAGGTACAAATAGCTGATATTAGGTCCTTTGTGTAGCACCAGGAAGGGAACTATAAGCCTGAAAGAGGGTTTAGATTAGCAAGGAAGAATTAAAACATAAACAAAAAAAAAAAAAAAAAGCCAAATGTCCCAAAGCAGATAAAGGTCCCCGGCTGCACTAAGGATCACTCAGATTTCACAGGATGGGCTGGGCCCTGCCCACCAACAGCCAGAGGCAGGAGGAACACGTCAGGAATGCTGTGTAACCTTCTGCTACTTGAAAACCTACAGCAGATCTCACCTCCCTGCTTGTTCGTCTTCCTCGCTGGTCTCACCCTCCTTCAGCATCCCGTTCCACAAGCCTCATCCTATTTAACCCTCAGGAAACAGCTCCATGTGGCAGGTGCTGTTCCCCATCTCCTACTGACCCTACTGAGCTGAGAAGCCAAGACTCAACCAGTTACACGACTGGCCAGGGGACCCCCACGTTAGTGACTGAGCAGCAATGCCCACCAGCCTCTGATGCCAAATCCAGAGTCCTACAGAGGTCTGCTATGGCACAAATGATCCTTGATGAAAAGTGTGCACCCGACTGTCATTCTTGCCTCCCCAGCTAAGTCTCCCCCTCCTCTGGAACCATCCCCAGCAGCGGTGGATGCCAGGCCGTGGATGCTCAGGGTCTAAACAAGGCCTCTGATGAGGAGAAGCAGCCTCCCGCCTGGAGGGAGCTCATGCAATTCTTAGTATCTCTGGGGAAGGGCATCAGAGGTCCAAAGGCAGCTGGGATCTCTGAGTCCATCTGCCTTGATGGTTTATCCCCGACAAGATGCCCTAATCTTCTATGACATCAGAATCGATTCCAAAGCTCTAGGAGAAGAGAGAGGACGCCCCTGACTCCGGCACCCCTGCGGTGCCTTCCTGCCCGCCGCCCACCAAAGCTGGCTGCCTCACAAAAAGGGCCTCTGTACCTCTGCCTCCTCACCACCACAAAACCCTCACTTGAAACTGTGGTTTCTGGGCAGAAAAATCAGTTTCTCCATGTACGGATCAGATCTATATAACACACATGTGCCAGGAAAGATCTAGAAGGAGATGCATGAAATTTGTTGTTGCTTTGCTTTTTGTTTTTTGGGGTTTTTGTTTTCATCAAGCCCAGAGCTGTCCAGAGCTGCTTTCTGCAGTCACACCCTCAGTTGATAAAGATTCTAGTCAAAGGCAAATGGCCTTGATGTTTTGTGAATTTTGTGCATCTGAGATCCCCCAGGCTGCGTTTGGCCAAATGCCAGATCTGGAGCCAGGGCGAAGGGCACACCACCTGGGGGCCCAGCTGTGAGTGAGGAGCCTGAGGTGGGGCTACAGGAGACGGGGAGTCAGGCTTGGACTTTCTGAGGGTTCAGAGCTGTCTAGGCCCAGAGCAGCTGCTGCCTCGGCTGACCATGTGAGGGCAGGTTTTCCAGGTGTGGCGACCACGTGCTGGGTGGGGCCTGACATCAGCCTCAGCCGTGCAGGGGTCTCTGCCGAAGATCCTGGACGATGGCCCTGAGGGGGCTGGGGGAAGGGGAGGTGGACGGGAAGTTATATGGCAGATTGGAGCCTCCCAAGGCGCAGACTCGCCGAGCGCTTGATCCTGCATCAGGGACTTCGGGACGCAAGGAAGGGGGAGACCCTGCCCTCGACAAGCCTGAGGTCTGACAGGGGAAACAAGACAGTTGACTGAAATAGAAGCTGACTTGGGCCAACACTAGTGCTCTCACTCAGTGAGGCCTTGGAGGCGTGGGAATGCGGAGGAACACGTGAACCCCAATACCCAAGGCAGATGAGCAACCCCAGTGTCCACTGGGAGACAGCGCCCCCTCCCAGGCCCACCCCAGGCAAGGAGCCACCGGCACGAAAAGCACGAGGCCCCTGGCTGTTCTTAAGCCCACCAAGCAGTGGAGGGGACAGCACGCTCTCGCTGACCGGAACCTGATCGGTGAAGCCAGCGGGTGCGAAAGGGTGGGGGGTGTGGAGAATGAACCGTCCTGCAGAGATCTGGGGATGCTTCTCCGAGGAGGCAGGGCGCCAGCGAGCAGGGCTCCAAGGGAGCAGGGCTCCTCCAAGGGATTGGCCGCCAGGACCGGGGAGGAGCGGGCAGCGGGCGGCCCCGGGCAGAGGTCGGGGCGGGGCAGGGGTGGGGGGAAGCTCACCGTTCTGCTTGGCCGTCTCGTAGTCCTCCTTGCACACCAGCCGCCCGTCCTCCATGAGGTAGAACTCGTCCCCCGTGGCCAGCTGCCGGTTGCAGATGATGCAGGCGAAGCAGTGCAGGTGGTAGACAAAGTCCTGCGCCTTGCGCACCACCTGGGTCGGGGGGATGCCCTGCTGGCAGGCCGTGCATTTTGTGCCGAAGCGCCTGTCAAGGCAGCAGGAAGGGACTGGAGCTCAGTGTGGAGGGGGGGTGTCTGGCTGCCCCCCACTTCCTATCATACCAGCCCCTCTCCTGCCCACCGTTCTGCGGTGTCCATGGGCGTCAAAGCCTGGGCCACCCGGTGCTTACCATCCGGTCCCCTCTGTCTCTAGCCTCATGGCTCTGTGCCCCGGGCTCTTTCCCCACAAAATGAAGAGGCCGGATCAGAGCCAGTCTCCCGTGCCTCTTCCGGGCTGACAAGCCAGGGGCTCCCGCATGCCCGGTTAATAGCCCTCTGGGTCCCCTCTGAGCAGGCTGTTTCACCCTCCACATCCTGGTCTTTGACTGTATGGTGAGGCCTAGAGGACCAGCGCCACGGGGCCACTGTGTGTGTTCACGGGCTGGTGTGCAAAAAGCATCCAGCTAGCACCTCTTTATGCTCCCGCAAGAGGAGCCAGGAGACAGCACGTGCCAGCGTCCATGCTGGAGTTCTGGAGAAACTTGACTTTGGCAGCAGGAGCAGGGATCTCCCGAAGGCTTCTCTCTCCTGCCTCTCCCCTCTGGCACACGCCAAAGCTCTCCATGCCAACCACCACCCCCTACCCATGTACAGCCCCTGAAATGCACTGGTCTGAGGTGGTCCCAGGAATCTGCATGTTCGCATCCCTATGCCATTCAGGACAAGGAGTCTACAGACCTCTGTTTGCACAGTGCTGCTATGGCCCTCTCCCTGGTCTACACCTTTCTGGACCAGCACTGAGGCAAGAGGAAGGCGCCTACCGCCACCCTGGGCCAAGGGCGGGAGGGCGGGAGAAGCAGACACATTGAAAATATAGTCCAGTGGGGTCATTTAAGCCTCCTTCCCACGCTGCCCACAGACATGGAGCCTCGCCGGTGATCATGGAGGCCAGAGGGGAATCTGGGGCCAGTGTAGACATGGGTGATGAAGGGGGTGCTCCACTACAGGTGAGTCTTCACTCCTTCAGGAGGGAGGCGGGAGGGGTTGGAGAGGCAGGGGCAGAGTTTAAAACAGCAATCAACCTAATTATTCATGACATTTCACACAGCAGAACTTTATCTTCTTCAGGATGAAAGACTTCGCCTAATGGATCTGGGGAAGGTTTGATTTTAATGGTCCTTTTAACTAATGCTTATAGGCAGCCTGATTTCCCCTGAAAGGACAGTACATATTTCATCCACATTAATACCAAATAAATTAATTATGGTCATGGCTATCATGATGAATCCCAGATTAATGCAGAATGATGGGTCTCTTATGCAGTAATGATACCTGCTGGGGGGCTGCAGGGGCCTGGAGCAGGCATGGCCAGCTGCGGCTTCAGAAGCTCCCCTCCCGGGAACAGTGTCACAGAGAGAGAAGTGGGGGGGTCTCTAAGTCTAGAAGTGTGGCCCAGGGGACTGCTTTTCTGAGATGAGGTCTGAGAAGGGTGTTGGGGTGTGAGGGGCTGGGGCATCTGGCTTGGAAGGACCCCAGACCCCTGAACTGCTGGAAAGTCTCTTGGTGTGGCGAGGAGGAGGTGGAGGGGGGACTGCGGGTGGCACAGGAGCAGACCTCCAGAGCTGATGTTCTTAGCCCGAGGCTCAGGACGGGCTCTGCAAACCACCCCAGAGTCATTCAAATTTGTGCATCATGAGGGGTTTCATCAGATTCTCAAAGGGGCACAGGATCCAGGAAAGGAGAGTTAACATTTGTTGAATGAATAAATCAGCAAATAGAGACCCATGCTTTTAGAGGATGTACACGGAGATGCTAAATCTGAGGATGGAGAACAAAGTATACTGTCGCATCTAGAAAGTTCTACACCTCCCAGAACACCTGCGAAAACAGGCTTCTTCAACAACTGCTGTCTAACCAGGTCATTTGTGTTAAAGGGGCAGGTAGGCAGGCACCCGGTTGTATCCTGTGTGAGTATGTGCTTGTGTGCGTGTGCGTGTGTGTGTGTGTGTGTTGGAGGGACAAAGAGAAAGGAAGCCTGTGTGTATATGTGTTACTAGAGTGTGTTTTCAAAATGCCTGCAGTTTGTGTATCTTGTCCCGACCAATTCACACTCCCTGGAAGCCCTCCCACATAAAACACTAAGGGTCCAGTGTCCAAATCCTTTGCTGCAGATGCTGGAGCCACAGCAGCTCCAGAGAGTTCTCCAGACACCAAGTCTGATCTTGTTGAGGTGAGGAGCGCTAAGGGGAGGCTCCAGAACACAGTGAAGACCCCCAGTGGCAGTGCCCTGGGAGAGGACCACGTCTCTCTCACCACTAAGAAGCAGACCGTGGCTTTCAGTAACCAGAGCCCCAGAGACATGAAAGATAACGGGGGTATAAATTTAATCTACATACCGACAGTGATTCATGCATAAGGGTGGCAAGTGCACAAGAAAAATGAAAAATAAATGGACTTTCCCACCAGCGTTTTTTAGCAATTGAAGCAATTTTCCTGATTGTGGGATTTATACCGATGGTAAGTGGAAGTTGCTCCCTACTACCTTCCTCCCCTGGAGCACAGCCAGCAGGATCCTCGATGAGGGGACTCTGGGCACCCCCTTAACCTGCAGGGCTCCCAGAGCGCCAAGGGGCACCCCCGCCACCTGCTGGTCAGAATCCGTGGCCCCAGAAAAAGGTGCTGCCTTGTTGGAGAGGGAGGGTAGTGAGGACACTGTCCCCGAGCTCCCAGAGCTTAGACCAGCCGGGGTCACAGAGGAGACAGCCGTGCCTGGATAAGCTGGATGACTCCTTCTGTGACAGGCAATAACGAGACGGCCATAGTTTAAATCCCCTGGTCCAAAATAAGGTAAAACTGTGAGCTTGGCTGCTGAGAGAGGCAATGTCTAACCAACCTGACCACATTTGAAGGACACTGGAGTGGGGGTGGAGCTGGATGCCAGCCAAGGAAGAGGCTTCCTTTTTTTTTTTTTTTTAATGTTTTACTTATTTTTGAGAGAGAGAGAGAGAGACACAGTGTGAGCCAGGGAGGGGCAGAGAGAGAGGGAGACACAGAATCCAAAGCAGGCTCCAGGCTCTGAGCTGTCGGCACAGAGCCTGATGCGGGGCTCGAACCCGCGAACCATGAGATCGTGACCTGAGCTGAAGTCAGACGCTTAAGTGACTGAGCCACCCAGGTGCCCCAAGAAAAGGCTTCTGAGAGATTTCCCAGGCAGTACCCCCTTCCTCCTGTCCCCAAGCACCTCCTATGTGCAGGGCCCTGCCTTCTTGCTGCAACCTGCCGTGCCCTGCTCACCAGAAGGACCATCTCTCTGGCCAGGCCTCCAGGGACACCTGGTCTCCCCAGGGAAAGCAGCTAGAGGTGATCCAAATGACAAAGAAAATTCGAGGAAGGACTTACTAATGGCCCAAGTTCCTTTCCTACTCAGACCAACATCACTGGAAATTCTCTTATCCCTGCCCAGCTTGTAGTAGACAGGCAACAAAGACCCACTGAACGAGCAAAGGAAAAAACACATGAACTCCTTAAAAAGTGTGTTTGGGGGCAACTGGGTGGCTCAGTAGGTTAAGCGACTGACTCTTGGTTTCACCTCAGGCCACGATCTCAAGGTTCGTGAGTTTGAGCCCTGCATCAGGTTCCATGCTGGCAGTGTGGAGCCTGCTTGGGATTCTCTCTCTCTCTCTCTCTCTCTCTGCCCCTCCCTGCTCGTATTCTCTCTCTCTCTCAAATAAATTAACTTAAACAACAACAAAAAAAATAAAACAAAACAACAAAAACAACAACAACAACAAAAACCAAAAGTGTGTCTGAACCATCGGGGAAGGACACAGAACACAAGAACTCCTGTCAAAAGCTTTTCCGAGAAAGTACTCAAACCCGGGTTGCAGTGAGGCTGCAGTGGACGAAAATACAACTTTGCATCCCGCTTTGTGCCATCATCATGCACATTCGACAGATGTCACCTGCGTGTCCAACGTAGAGGCAGGTATTACGATACCTGCTAACAGATGAGAAACTGAGGCTCAGATGGTGAGGTGCCGGCCGCGGCTCACAAAGGCAACGAGAGAGAGAATCGGGCTCGAACTCGGGCTTCTGAGAGCTCTGCTGGCACATGGCAGGCATCACAGCAAACCTCCACTGGGAAGCCAGCCGTGCTGTCCCCACCCCAGAAGGGAACTTGGGGAGAGGAGCTCTGAGCTGCTCTGAGCCCCAGAGTATGTGGCCCCCAGACCTGCAATGCAGGGGCTGCTCTGGGACCCTTCACCCCGGGGGTGACCCCCAGCACAGCGACTGACCCTGCCTGCACCTTCCACACTTCTGCCCCCCACTGAGGGCGGGCCTCAGGGGCCTAGACCACTGGCTAAGGAAACGCACCAGATGTCAGCCAACAGGGGCCAGGCCCGTGTCCTCAGTCTCACCCTTGGGTCCAGTGCTCAGCCTGAGCTCCCATCTGCCCATTTACCTGTCCACCCCTGCTACTGTCGACAAGCCTGGTGGGGGGTGGGGGGTGTGGACTAACCTGAGGGTGTCTGGATCCTGCAGAAAGTGGGCAACAGGCAGGCCCTGCACACCTTCTAGAAACTGGTGCATGTAAATCCTATACCACGAATGTTCTGGCACGTTCTGATTTTAAGTTCTGTCCTATGATCCCAGGTGCCCTACGCTGGACACTGAAATGCTACTAACAAAAGCAGTTTCCCAAGTACTAAGCCCCTACCGTGCACCCCTGTGTGTGCACACCTGTGCTTAATCCACAGACCTGCTCCCTGTGAATTTGGTCCTGTCCTTCCTGCCACAATGCTTGGTGACTTCGATATCCACACAACAGTCCTTCCTGCCCCTGCTCCCTCAATTCTCTGACCTCTTCCTCTGAAGGTCATGGCCACTACCCTTCCTCAGCCACTCATCCCCTAGTCCACTCAGACCTTCTGTTGGCAGGAACTGCAGTGCCTCCAGCGGTACTTTCCAGCCATCACGCCGTCTTCTGGACCTTCTAGTTCCTTCCCCGAGGCACCAAGCCCCACAGCTCTGCTGACCGGGGTCCAGC